TGTCCTCGCATCCCCGCGTCCTCGCGTCCCCCCGTCCCCCTGTCCTCGCATCCCCGCGTCCCCGGGCAGGATCCCCATGTCCTTGCGTCCCTGCATCCCTGCGTTGCCGCGTCCTTGGGCGAGATCCCCGCGCAGGGGAGGCCAGGAGCCACTCGCCCTTAGGAGCCCCGGTCCCCACGCCAGGCCCCGCTGTCTCCGTGTGCCACCCTGGGGGCTCCCCGTCCCCTTGCGGCCCTGCCCAAAGCCCTGCGCGTCCTGGCGCTGCGGAGTCCCCTGCACCGGGGCTCCCGGGATGGCGGTGCCAGCGCCCCCAAGGCACCCGCAGGAGGTGGCGCTGAGGGGCGTCCTGACAGCACTGGGGTCCCCCGCGGCTGTGTCCCCGTGTCCCTGCAGTCACACTCTGTGGTGTTTTGGCCCTGCCTGTCCCCAGGTGTCCCTTGCGGTCTCACTCTGCTACTCCCTCCAYGCCCCCTCCCTGGATTCTCTCGGGTGCTCTGGGGACAAGATGGGACAAGACCAAGGACGTGTGGCCAAACCAGGGCGAGGGCAGGGCCTTGGTGCTCTGCGTTTGCCCGCAGCTCCGTCACCGGAGTGAGGAAGCAGCAYGGATGGGACACTGGGCTCACGGGCCCTAACTGCAATGCTCCTCCTGCAGGAAGGCACCTGGGGAGTTAAAGGCAAAATCCTTAATGAAATAATGAAATATTTAATAGGAAGACTGTATTGGAACTGCAAAGTTGAGCCCTGGAAAGTCAGAGCACACCAGGATGTAGGTGACCCCAATTTGTCCTTCTGTGAGAGGCCTGCAGCTTCTCTCAGACCTCCAGAGCCACCGGGGTGGTGCTGAGCACACGGGGAGGGGACAGCAATGTGCCAAGGTCACCGCAGGAATCTATGGCAGGGCTGTAGCTGCCTCCTCCCCACTTCCCACCGGACAYGTCGATGATCCCCGTGTGGCCCATGGGGTTTGCAAAGGGAGCAGTTTGGAGCCACCCGGMGAAGGAGGCTGTTAATTTTCCCTGCCGCGTTTCCTGCAACCGTTGGTCAAACAGGTCCGGCGCGTTCGCCTGGCCCGCACAGCCTCTGCAGTGGCGCGCACCTGAACGCGGCACCTCGGTGGGTGTTTGTGCCCGGTGCCCCTCGCAGAGCGGGASGTGCTCGGGGGCCTGGCAGGTGCCGCAGCATCTGAGCTGGGGGGCCCAGGAGTTTAGCTCTGGCTCTGTCCCCGCGTGGTCTTTGTCGCGTCTTCATCACTCTTGTCCGGCACAGGAGAATGAAGCGCTCGGTGACAGCAGCAACACGGCGCTGCGGTGGTTAATGGCAGCCAAGGGAGGTGAATTGGGGCTAATTCTGCCCAGGCTGTGCCGAGGCACTGAAGAAGATGAGAGGGGGCCGTGGAGGGTGACAGGCACCTGCCCAGCTCAGATACTTTGTCACCAGCAGTGTCGGCCCCAGCTCATTCTCTCCCTGCAGCAGCTCGGACTCCCTGGGGAAAACAAGTGCCCMGCTGCAAAGGGCCACCTCACAGGGGACATCCCTCCGCCCAAGTTGTGCCCTCTGGAGCCTGATGAGGTGGCTTTGTCCCTGCGTGGGGGGATGATGTCCCATTGCCAGGACTGCTCGGAGGGGCAGGGGGGACAGCGCAGGGGCTGCCCGGGGCAGTCTGAGGGATGGCGCCTAAGGGTGTGATGAGTTTGCCCAGGCTCAGCTCCTCCTCCATCTGCATCTGGGGGGTGGTTTGAAGGGGCAAATCCCCAAGCTCCCCCGTCCCCCCCGCCGCAAGAGCCCCGGCAGCGGCGGGCGGGCGGGCGCGGGGCAGGTGCCGCCGCTGCGGAGCCGCCCCCGGCCGGGGCCGG